GTCATTGAATCGTTTCACCACAGGTGCTATATTTTATATTTTAAATATTTTTAAACTAGCTTCCATTTAATCCAGGGGACAAAGAATGAAGGTCACCAGTAAATATCCAAACCTAGAATGCCCTAGTGACAAGTGAGGTTACGGCCGCTCAATGACCAGCAAAGACATTTCTGTCCCTGCATTTCAAACAGTACAAGATCAGAGGTGTATGAACGTCAAAGTGTAGATAGCTCGGTGATCGCCATGCAAAGTGTGTTAAAGACATGGCTTATTAAATGTCATTTGTCACAAACGTTTAAACTGGCAGAAGCCAAGTTCTGACGCTTCAGAATGTGATGTGCGTACTTTTTCGAGGATTAAAGTTACCTTCCGGACAAGTGCTATTCAGTGTTGAAGACTGGTCTTCCCAATTACAGGTACCGTTGCCACAGAAGAGCATTCGTCGAACCGAATCACCGATCCAAACACGAGTCACGTTCCAGTAGGATGCTGTAGCTGCCAAAGTCGGCCACACGGCTCCCAAATCAACCACATAAACCAAACGATCACGTCGCTGACAGCAAGTCGCCATATGCGAACAACCGGTGCAAGGTTTATGAAGATGACGACCTACAAAATCAAAATCTCATTATTAACTGCGTAGGCGCCATTTGACTCAGAACAGCTGAAAGAGGCACGTACAAGAAACTGCGATACAGGAAAAGTACGTTTAAATCAGCACCTCACATTCGAAAGTAAAGATTACGCCATGCTGACATCAGTGAATATGCTGACAATAACTTCGCCGTTATGTCGGATGTGCATACTGTACGAATGAGTAACGAGACTGAAATCCGCTTATTAAATTTAGACTTGGAAATCTTGATTTCACGACCAAAAAGTCCACTAATAATATTAGTAATACTATGGATGATTAACATATATGAACAGTGACACATGAATGGAAAACATGAAATGGTCGTTTAAAAACAACAAGCGTGGCACCATCAATCAACCTGTCCCACAAGAAATTCACGTTGTGCAAGTTTCAGTGTAACTCCTTGAATACGTACATAATTTAGTCTGAAACGTCCGTATTTGGATACAATGTTTAGGATTAAAGATTTTAAGCGTTGTTATCCCGCATGTGATTTTCTGAAACAGACAAAAATATATCACTTGGATCTCCTAGAGCTTCCGGTATTCGGCGACGAGCCGGCCGTAACACTTAGTGTTGTCATAGCACATTAAATTTTTTCACCTGCTAGCAAAACTGAAGGTAGCTATTAGAATATATAGAACCATGTTAAATTAAGGTAGAACCGCCTGCGTCATGCGGTAGCATACAAGGAGTGCCAGTTCCTGAAACATTTTTCATAATGAAGGCGAGGTTGCTCTAACAAATAAATTGATGCGAGAGGC